CTGTTTACCTCCAGGTGTCTGCTCGAGAAATGGTCGCTCCAGCGAAGGCCGCCTCGCTAGGCTTGCAGGGGTCTGGCCGCCAAGATCTCCAACCCTCTGCCGCGACGGTACATCAACACCACGACACGCGCACCCCAAGCACTGCGAATTCCTATACGCGCATCGTTAGAGCTCGATATAGGTAGTCGCAAACATGACAACCAACGAGCCATTCTACCTGCGTTACTAGTATGCAGGCTGTGGATTCTCAAGCACGTGCAGTTACTAACATTTTCGCAGCTCTGGTCACCAAGGCCGATTCGGACACGAGTTCTTGGGTGCGCAAAGCTGTTGCGAAAAGAGAATCACGAGTCTAACTTGGCATAGAGTTCGATTTTCGAGTGCTCGGAGACGGTCGCAGCGCATCTGCCCGTTATGCCAACAACTCAAACTACCGCAATGATTCACTCATCCGGAAAGAGAGCAAGTCATTCTCTGCCCTTGACGTGATGTGCTGCTAACGCGTCGTTTAGTGTGCGTCAGCGATGCTTTGGTAGCCGAGATCAAGAAGATTGTCAAGGACAGTGAGATCCTCAAGTATGTGATGGAATGGAAGTTACGTATCATCTGCTAACTCATCCCCAGGGAAGATGACACAAAGTGGCCCCAGAAGAACAAGGACGGCCGTCAAGAGTTGGAAATCCGGTTAGGCAGCGAGCACATCTCCTTTGAGGTAGGATGGTCCGTTTATCATGGCCTCAGTGAACTGACGACAATAGACTGCGAAAATTGGCTCGCTCCAGGACGTACAAGACTCGTCAGACCCAGAAGGCCTTCGCGTCTTCTACTACCTCGTACAGGACCTCAAGGCACTCGTCTTTTCTTTAATATCTCTGCACTTCAAGGTATGCGATCCAGTGTACTCACGTCGAACATGAAGACTCACAGCGTTATAGATCAAGCCTATCTAAGCCTCTCGCCGCCACATGGAGGCACAGTAGCGTTGCTTTTGCCGACAGCGCACAGCCACGGGGTTGTGGCACAACCGCGGCTCGATGTGGAATGACGTAGGGACGGCGTACGGAGTCAACTGGAGGAACGACATCTGCTTGTGACTAGTGTCACCTGATCTGCGTGATCCCTTCTAGGACGATGGTGTATGAGAGGAGGATGCTCAGGAAAGGGCTATTCGACCAAAATTCGTTAGATCGCGCGGGTCGGCTCGGAAGGTCAACATGGCCCACTTGGCAAGGAATGATAATACAATTTACAGATGCATTCGACGGCCTAGATATCAAGTGTTCCAATGTGTCTAGGTTTGGCCCCATGTCATCCCACGTGAGCCAAGTGCGGCTTCCCCGCGTAAGTGCAGCTCAGTGACCCACTAACTTTGAACCGCCTAGACACCTCCGCCGAGTCCAAGTCATCCATCCAGCATGCATTCTTCCCCATCGCCACGCTTCTGGCTCCCGCAAGGCTCTATTGTATAATCGCACATTCATCCCCACCCGTCCCATGTATAATCGCCTCGCACCTTCGCTGTAGTCTCGTCGCACCTGCTATCGGACCATGCCGACGCCGGATGATGAAGCCATGGTCTCGCCGGTGGAGCACGAGAGCATCGCTGGCCGCCCGACTTGTCCACCCGAGGAATCGCGCGTTATCGCGACCCACGAATTGAATGAGACACGGGGCGCCCTCGACGACAGCAATGCCAGCGCCGTGCCCGATGTGCCCATGCAGCAGCCCACTCCGTCTCCACAAAACTCGCGCGAGCATACCCAGGCGCCCGACGATATCCAGACCAAGCTGCCCAGCACCGACAGAGACTCGCCCACCAGAGACATTCCCACGCCTATGACGGCGACAGACGACGGCACTGAAGAGCAACGCACCTCTCACGTCTCGCCGCTTTCTCCCGCTGCGCCAACTTCGCTGCTCGCCAGCCATCTATCGTCCCCATTCCCTGCGCATAGGGTACGTCAGACCAGCATGCATGCAGAACAATGCGCAAAGTAGACGTTGCTAATGCCGATGCAGTTCCTACCCAACACATCCTCGTCCCTCCTTCGGCCCGGCAGTCGCTTCGTGGGCACCCAAACCTCCGACCGCCAGCAGTATGACGTCGAAGTCGATATAAAACATGTCGACATGCGCGAGTCCTTCATGTGTGGATACTTGCGCATCAAAGGTGCGCACACCTCTCCGCAGTGCCAGTAGAGCTTGTAGACTAACACGTCCACAGGTTTAACCGAAGACCACCCAAGTCTGACGACATACTTCGAAGGCGAGATTATCGGAACCAAATACACCTTCATTACACAGCATCCGGAATGGGGCTCCAACGAGAAGGTCGACCGGCAACACTGGGGGCGGTTCGACGCATACAAGCCGATTGCTAAGTACTCTGCGCGCCAGGAGCAGGTGTCGAAGGAACTGAACCAGAAGGAACACCTCTTCATGCGGTGGAAGGAGTACTTCCTCGTGCCAGACCACCGAGTGAGGACCATAAGCGGTGCGAGTTTTGAAGGCTTCTACTACATCTGCTTCAATCAGCTCTCGGGCGGCATCGAGGGCATCTACTTCCACGCTAAGAGCGAGAAGTGAGTTTGACATCCCAGCCAAAATGGTCTTATGCTAACACTGCCCAGATTCCAGAAGCTCAATTTGAAACACATCCAAGATTTTGGGTGTCAAGGCGCGATTGAATTCCGATAATGTTGATGACTGAACGACTGGGCATTTGGATATGGATTAGCATTAGGGCGCACACCTGGGATTGTCTTCTTGTATCGATTTTTCTTCCCACGGACCGTATGCAGGGTGCCAAGGTCGTCGGGCTTTTTGTAGTAACGTCTCTGAGACATGCAGGTCGAATTACGTCACGCTACGCTTTGTCGTACAAGCAGTAGATCGCTGCGCGAACGGCTGTTTGCTGTGTTGCTGCAGATGTGGTGGACCAGAGACCCTGGCGCTAGCGAAAAACTCGCTTGATTCGTGATACGCAGCTAATCGACTATTACCTCAGCACCTGTGCATCTACCTTTGACCCAACTTTCTTGCACATCTGATAATTGCGTATACCAAAGTCACCATGCCAGGCGAAACAGCAAAGCGCACAAAGCGCGAGGAGTACAAGAAGTCGCTGCAGACGGAGGAGCAGCAGGGCGCCATGCCCAAGAAGAGGTTCTACAGGCAGCGCGCCCATGCGAATCCCTTCTCAGACCACTCGCTCACATAGTAAGATGATGTTGGTCTCTTATGAGAGATGAACCTAATATGATGCAGTCCCAAGAGCCCCGCAGACATGGACTGGGCGAGTCTATACTCTATGTACGCCAAACAACCTAAGAAAGAGACGCAAGAAGGGCAGAATGAGTCACATGATACGAGCATAGAAGAGCAACGGGAAGCAAATGCGATATCAAAGAATGTCGAAATAGCAGACATAGGATGCGGCTTCGGAGGCCTACTCTTCGCCCTCGCACCCAAATTCCCCGATACATTGATACTCGGTCAGTCCCCCATTTATTGTCGCCACCTCGTTCACCACACAAGCACACAAGTACACAAGACACAACCAGCTATCCCCAAACTAACACAACCCCACAGGCATGGAAATCCGCATGTCGGTAACAGAATACGTGCAAGAAAAAGTCCGCGCCCTCCGCGTGCAAAACGCCCCAACGCAGCTCTACCAAAACACCTCCTGCATCCGCGCCAACACCATGAAATTCCTGCCCAACTTCTTCCAAAAACACCAACTCTCAAAGATCTTCCTCTGTTTCCCGGATCCGCATTTCAAACAGCGGAAACATAAGGCGCGCATTGTGTCTTACACCCTTAACTCAGAGTACGCTTACGTATTGAGGCCGGGTGGGGTGGTGTATACGATTACAGATGTGCAGGATCTGCATGAGTGGATGAAGGGGCATTTTGAGAGACATCCGTGTTTTGAGCGGGTGGAGAGGGTGTTTGAGGAGGGGAGCACGGTGGATGGGGTTGAGGGTGTGGGTATGGATGAGTGTGTTAGGTTGATGAGGAGTGAGACTGAGGAGGGGAAGAAGGTAGAGCGGAATAAGGGACTGAAGTTTGTGGCGTGCTTTAGGAGGAGGGAGGATCCGGAGTGGCCGTGAGAGGTTGAGAGTGTAAGATTGTGTTGAGGGTTCGCTGGCTGGAGCTTCGAGACATTTTCGGAAGCGTGTCTTCTCGGGCTCATGTGTGGAACTGTATTACCTGGGTATGAAGCATGATGTGGAATTCATGGTGGGGTCCGGGTTCTCTTGCGCGTGAGCTGCGTGTTCTTAGACTGTGCAGTGGATCTCGATCTAGATCTTGCATTAAGATGAATCTAACAATACAATACAGAGTCCTTAAGTCCCGCGCAGCGGCCCTGCCAGGCTTGTAATTTTCGCGAAGCAACAGCCCGCACCTCTAATTCCGCCCTATAGCCCTCTTATAATTTATTATAGCTTATTACTGCTGCAGGCAGCGTTGTAACATGCCTCTTTTTAGCCGTGCACGTAGAAATCTAGCCTTAGCAGCTTAAACAGATATACATACACCTAACCTGTTGGCTCTATTCACTCTAGCCAGCTTGGCCTATCACCTAGCATATATAAGCCGTTGCGTATTATTAAGAGGGTGTCTAAGTCTAGTACAGCCCTCTACTAGTATTAAAAAGGTCGTAAAATAAGAGTAAATGCAATATATCCTTAGCATAGGGAAGCTTAAGCTAAGCCTCGCAGCTTAGCACCTAAGGATTACCTAGCGAGATAGCTCTCCTCATAGGTGATCTTACTACATAATATCTGTATTTCGATAGCTGGTCTTCGCTCTCGGGCATGCGCAAAAGTTCACGACCGTGCCACTGCTCTCGGTAAAAGTTCGGCGATACCGTAATCAGCCATGCCCCGCTACCGGTGTCGCGTCGCACACTTTCCTTCCATCAACTCCACGCGCTCCTGCACAACACCCAACATCGAAGTACCTCTTGACTCGTGTAGCCTAAACTTTTCACAATGGATCCAGACGCGATGGATATTTCGGGGCAGCCGCACAGATACCCACCTAATCTATCGGGTATCCCGACAGAGCTCCAGTTGAGAATCGTTGATTATGTACGCTTGCTCTTACACGTAAGCTGCAGAGCTCGCACTGATTGCGGCAGGTAACGACGAAAGCCGATCTCAGATCTCTATGCTTGACTTCCTCAGCACTTCGTCTCCTTGCCATCCCGCTCTTGTACAGGCGCATCAAGTTGGAGCTATGGAGTCCGGGAGCGATCGAACAGCTCCGGGAGTGCAATCTACATGGCGCTGGACCGCATTTCCAGCACACGAAAGAGCTCATCATAGAGAACGAGTGCCTTTGTGGACCGCTCCCCTCAATCCATAATGGCCGCATCAGGATCCCAGAGGCCATGCCCAAAGAATGGGAAGATGATGCCCATGACTTGGAAATCGAGCACTTCGAGAACCAACAGGACGGTAATGCTTACTTGTTCTTGCAATTTATGCATCATAATAAACTGGAGCGCTTTTGGTATGGTATTACCAGTAAATGCACACTACGGAGTGAAAGTTAACCTGGCCAGCTACCTTTCGCAGCGACCTGTACCACAGATGGTGAAGTCACATCTGCGCAACTATCAGAACAACATACAAGACCTCAAGATCAGCCTTTACACTGATCCTGGGTCGTTCGGGAAGCTACCACGTGTGTTCTGTGGTCTGCAGCGCCTCGACATTTACCACAATGATCAATCAGATATTATCCTTCTTTTCGAAAACATCGAATCTGTGGGCGCCAGTCTGAAACGGCTGTCTTTGACAGCGGCGAATGTCGGTGCACTAAATGGTCAGCTGGATGCATGGGTAGATAGCGAGCCGGACGACCTCACCCGATATACTCCTATGCTCGAAGAGCTCCGGCTTGCCAATTTCGTGGTCCCGGGCACATTTGTAGCATTCGACCATGTTATCGATTTCTACAAGTTGAGCCGATTAGAGCTGCTCGTAGACAAGGGAGGTAATCTAGACTTCGTCTTGGAGCTAGCCGAGCGTGCGCAGGGCAACAGGTTCAAGTTGAAGCACATTGCTTTAGAGTTCATGCGCGGCACCCTGCTGACTGAAGACCACCTGTTGGCCATAATGACTCTTTTCAGTTATTGCGAGCGTCTCGAAAGTCTCCACCTACGCTTTCCAGATGAAGAGCGCTTCCCTGCCCGCTTTTTCAACGTCTTCGATGCGCTTCCGCACAATCTACAGAGCTTGAGTATCTCTTTCGATGTCGATACAACGCCCACTGTGGCATTGCAAAACCAGATGTTGTTAAGCAGGTTACAAAGAAGCTCGCTGAACGGGATTAAACAGCTCGCGTATCAATTTGACGAAAAAGACTTGACAGCAGAGAGCAACGGTAGCAGTTATGATAATGTAGTAGTAAGTACTAATAACCACATTTCAAGCCGACAGTCCTTCACATGGTGGCTAACACGTCTCAGAACTCGCTGCGAGGCTTCCAACAACTGCGTCTACTCCACATCCGTGTGGAAGACAGTACTCTTATGGGCAAAAGTCCAATCTACGACGACCAACCGCTAGAGGAAGTACTGGTGGATCCTCATATATTGGCTTTGCAGATGCAAACGTTTGCCAACCGGCTGTTCGAGGACATGCACAGAGGAGGGCATTCAAAGCTGGATGCTCTGGTCGTTGGGCATGCGACCAGCGCTGAAGCAGCAGCCGAACTTCAACAGCAGTGTTTTGTCAGAGGCGAGCAGAGAGATATTCTCGGGCGCACGGTCCCGGTTGGGGTTCCTGTTTCGCAGGCCATGCTGCGCGAGACTCAGCCATACACGGATATCCTGGATATCGACTTCCCTAGGACTTCGTCATCGGATGGATTCGAGGGGTGGGCCGGAGAAGCGTTCTGAGAATTCGTTGCTCACGTACCATCGATTCAGCATTGCGCTTATACATGAACGCCGATGTATCAGCCACGACCCATGTCTATAGCCGCTGTACTTTGCCAGCAGTACGCGAATTTCAGGGAACAATGTATGTACTCATACAGGAATACATAGCTGAGCAGATAGTCTGAGCGCCTTCAAATTCTGCCCAGAAGACGTCGCATCCACAATCGTACCATTCGGTTCTGAGAGCGCTTCGCGTAACATGTTGTGGAGCAGGCTTAACCTGAATCAGTCACAAGGAACTTCCTGATTGGGGCAAGAACCAAACGCTGACCTTGATCGGCTTCAGCAGCCGATGCGACTCGTCGTTCCTTCACGGTAGCTTCCCACATGCCGCAACGACGCGCATTGCCGGAGGATGCATACATAGCGCTAATGTATGTTCTTTATTCGAGAGTCAATCGAGCGCTGACACGATAGCATTGGCTGCAGGTCTAGCAAGGGTGTATGCAATCCTTCTGGCTCCGCGGCATCTAGATGCATACTGCAAGGGTGGTCGCTACAACCCCTCTTATGCAATAAGTTCATTGAAAGAGGCCACCCACCAGTTCAATCTTGGTTCTGAGTATCGTGATTCTTTGACCTGCAACAACAATGTTGCAACTCAACACCGACTGCCAGAGACGAGTACTCAACTACGTATGCTACCCGTATCGCCGCTCGCTACATGCGATATACTGAACACAGCAGATTAACAGCCGAAGCGACCTAAAGTCACTATGTTTGGTGTCGAAAGAGCTCAACCAACTCGCCCTCGAAAAGCTTTACAAGCGCATCGACATCCGCCTGTTCAGCGAAAATAACACCAACTACATCCTTGAACTACTGAAGGACGTAAAACAGAACCTCCAGTATACCAGAGAACTCGTCGTGGAAGATGAGTGCATCGCCGAGGAAACCACGTCCGTCCAGTACGGCAGTGTTGGACTACCTGACCTCAAATGTTGGACCGGTTCTGGCGCCACGAATGCAGATCCTGAAGTACGCGACAGTCGATTTGAGCAGGTCTTAGATCTCATCCCGGCAAATGCCCTGCGCACATTCCGGTAGGGCTGAAGTTACACATTCCGTCCTGTGTTACCTGCTCACATCGACAGTTTCCTCGGTCGACGATCACTACCGTGGCGGTTGCATAAGAAGCTCGCATCGAAACAGAGAAACATCACAGACCTCCAAGTCAGTCTTGCTATGGATCTCTTCGACAACTCCATAAACATACTGCCAGAAGTGTGTCAACGCGAAACGGATTTGAAACGACTGGACATGTACATCGTCAGTGGGTCGCCACTCAACAACCAATTACTCGACTATGTTGAAGCCGTCGGAAGCAACCTGCAATCCCTGTCTTTGAGCGCCAACATTGACACTGACGTTTCCAAGCTGCTCGGGAACCACGACTGGCCACCATACCAGCCCAAACTCCCACTGAAAGAACTCAGATTGACTGGCTTGACATTGATACACATGTACAACTCCCTATCGACAATCATCGATTTCAGCAAGCTGCAAAAGCTCGACCTAGTAGAATGCGCCGGAGCCTTCGGATTACTGGCGGACATTACAAATGCAATGCCAAACCAGCAGTTCGATCTTACGCACGTTGCCTTGAACGAATTTGTTCCTCGAATTAGCATCATCAAAACTGACGACGAGCGCAACATACATTTGGTCAACTTCTTGAAAGCATGTCCAAACCTGCGCAGTCTGCACTTTGGTCATTACGATCTCGAAGCTTTACCACCAGGATTGAGACAGTACCTACAAAGTAGAGGCAAGGAGCTCACGAGTCTGAGTCTATACTCCAAAACCGAGATAATCGACGCTGGAGAGTTCGATCTTATTTGCCGATTATGTCCCAACCTAGAACAATTCGCCGCCGGGATCGACGAGGAATTTATAATGGCAGATGGGCTGTGGTACCATAACCTGAGAGACTTCGTAGTAAGACTTACCAAACCATTAACTTATCATGAGGTATACTCACCCCCCACAGGACTCCCTCCGCCGCCTCCCCAAACTCCGTACCCTCCATGTCCACCGCTCCCGCATCTCCCTAGTCGGCGGCCTCGGCAACGGATACGGCAACCGCTGGAACACATCCATGATCTCGCTACAAGTGCAAAAGTTCGCAAACCTGCTCTTCGGCGAACTCTACTTAACACACCCTGATTCCGCCCTCGAAACAATTATCGTTGGGCACTTGGGTCCTCTAAAAAGGAAGAGCAATGCTGTCGAGCTGGGCAATGGGCGTGAGATCAATTCGCAGCATTATCTGCCGCAGTTTTGCTTTGTCAAGAGTCGGCAGGAGGATCTTTTGGGGAGAACGGCGACGACGGGGGTGATGGTGAGTCGGGCTGTGTTGAAGAGGACGCATGATTATATGGGTATTTTGGATGTGGATGCTGGGGTGGAGGCGTGGGAGCAATGGGTCGGTCAGGCTATCTAGCATTTGGGTCACATCCCACGAATTCAATCGATAACTTTATCCAGCTAGAAGTATACATCGCTCTAGAAACGGCGTAATTCTTAGGTTTTGATGGCATGTATGTGGCAACTACTAATCTGGGGTACAGAAATAGAATCATGATGCAAAGAATACCGAGCTGCTCATCTTCCCCGTGCGCAGTTGTACGTCCTGCCAATCCACTTCCATGAAGATATACACTCACAACCGTGTATTGACTAAACTACTCAACGATCCCTATCTTCATCCCTCCCCGGCCAAACAATCTGCTTCTTCCACACAGCCCTCACACACCCCACAACCGTGACCAACCAAATCACCACCAACAAAACCGTCATCACGCTCGCCACCCAAAGTATACCCTCACTCTCCAACTCCCTCCCCAACACACCCGTACTAAGCGTAAACCCCACATTCGGAAAGATGAACGCCCACCACGTCAGACTAAACGGCATCTTCCCAATCACCCCCAGATTCCCCAGCAGCGCAATAGCAAACAACCAGAAACTAAACACATACAAGAAAACCCCCGTGAAAAGCGCCAAAACACGAAGTATCTCCGGCGCAGCAGGATGCTTCGCAAAGTACCCTTCCGACATGTTGTTCGGAACCGCATTCGCCAGCCCAATCAACGCAACAATCGTGTACGCACCACTCCCCACCGGTATAAACAACGCAGGCCGTAACTGAGGCGGCGGAAACCCATTATCCAGCAAATTGCGTACAAAACCGACTATGGCAACAAGACTAACACACCACCCAAACCCCTGCCACGCAACCCCACTCACAACCACCATCACCGCCCTCCCATCCGTCTGGCTCCCCGCCACAAGACTCGCCACCGTCCCCGTCAACATGGCCGAATATCCCGCTAGGAAAAGACTCGGCAGCGGCGGCACAGGACGGACCTTTCCCCATTGAATCAATATCCAATACTGGAACACGGAGTTTGCGAGGGAAGCCCCCGCGTAGATCCAATACAGTACGTAGACGGCGTCGATGAGCCAGGGGTAAGCGGGGCCGTGGGTGATGCCGTAGGTTTGGATGCCGGCGAGGATGACGCTGAGGGAGAGGTAGAAGGAGCCGAGGAAGAAGGATTCTTGGGGGTGGAGGAAGGAAGTGAGGAAGTGGGTGCGGTGGTAGAGGAAGCGGAGGGCTGTTAGGGTGGTGAGAGCGAGGAAGAGGAGGATGTTGAGGAGGAAGAGGGTTAGGCCGATTTGGTGGAGGCCTGGGGGGTGGGTTTGTTAGTATTGGCAAGCGCGACGGGATGGAAGAGGGATGGGTACCGGGGAATTGATGCGGTGTTTCTGCTATGGCGAGGGCGAGACCGCCTGTGCTCATTGTTGAGAGGAACCAGGCGAATGTGAAGTGTTTAAGGCGTGAGCGTAAACCGATTTTGCGGTCTGGTTGTTTGTGCTCTTGGTGGAGCATCTCTGGCTTTGACGACGGGGTCGTGTCGGAGGTGTGTGGGGATATAGACATCTTTCAGTGATTCTTCTTGTTTTTTCAGAGTGCTCTTGTCATGTGTTCTTGGTTGTTGCTGTCATCGCATGGTGGTTGATGTGGTAACGGTGATGAAAGGTATGCGACAGATGAGACTCCAAAAGCATCACAAAGCTCATCGCTAGCGATAACTTTGCGCGCAGCGTACGATTACCAGTCGGTGTAGCTTCCGATAGGATGTGACCTTCTCCCCAGAGGTCATGATCGTGAGATATCCAATGGAGAAGTTGCGGATCGGTGGTTGGGCATGACGCGCAGCGGCTCTGTTTCCGGTCGTCCTATTCCCGGAGCCGCACAAGCTTCCTCGCACATCAACCGACGCAACTACATCTTCACCGCACATCTACCGAGTAACTGCATCGAACTGTTTTCTTTCAACTATTAACATTACTTGCGAAAGCTCACGCCACCTGCTGAATCCTATCCTTCGCCTTATCCTTCTTCTCCTTCGCCTTCCACTTAATGTCGCCCGGCTGCGGCCACCTGTAGTTAACAGGCGACTCTCCACCCACAAAGATACACAAATCATACATCAAGCCACCACATAGCGCACCAGCAATAGATGCGCCCCAAGAACCATAGGCCCAGTACCCGTTCTCAAAGGCCGAATCGTATCCAACCCATAATCCGATGAGCCTTGGACCAAGATCGCGCGCTGGCGAGATACCCAGACCCGTGTTGTAGCCAAGCCCGATCATGGTGACGAAACCTGTAAGACCGACGACGAAGGCTGTCATGCCTTGGCCTGGAGGCGAGTTCTGGTCGTCTCCCAGGGCGAAGATGACGCAGACGAAAATGGCCATGTAGACGAAGTCGTTGAAGAAGCCGGTTGCGGTGGAGTATATGGGTCCTTGAGGGAAGAGAGCCTTGCCGGTCATCTCCAGGGTAAGACCGGGGTCTACTGCATGAATAGCATCTGCGTAAAGGCTAACACGAAGTTAGCAACTGGTGCGTTTTGATCGGCAGAAGATTTGTCTTACGCGTAAGCTACAGCTCCGGCACAAAGTCCGGCCAGCAACTGCATGAAGATGTAGACGATTGCCATCTTCCAGGGGAAACCGCGGTAGACGGATAGCGAGATCGAGATTGTGGGACTGAGATGTGAACCGCTGACACCGCCGCCGAGGTAGATGCCAATCATGACTGCGAAGCCCCATCCCCAGGCTTGGGTCTCGAAGCTGCCGGTGCCTTCTTGAGATGTGGCGACTGAAAGATTGACGCAAAGTCCGATGAGGAGGTACACAAACGTCTACACAGTATTAGCAAGGTTGCTGTCAGAAGAGTTGATGATACGTACGGCGAGGAACTCGGCAGGTGCCTGTGGGTACTTGGCTCGCAGCCTAGCGATAGGGTTGCGGTATTGGTTGTAGAACTCGCGTTCTGCCTCATGCTCCCGTTGTTGAATCTCTTTCTCTTCCTGTTTAGTCTGTGAAGACATATTCGTATCGTGTTCCTGGAGCGGCGGAAGACCGTCTTGTAAACCAAAGTGCTGCTGCTGCCCACGTCCATCAGAGAACTCCAAGCCATGCTCGTTGACGGGCGCACGTTCCTGGCCTTCATGATGTTCATGGCTGCGAGCGTTTGGTTCTTGGTTGCGGCCAAGCACTTGGTCAGCTTCACTTGTTGGCACGCGTTTCATGTTGACATTGCGGCCGTCGACTGTTGTCTGGAAATGCGAGGGGTCGCGTCGTTGGTGTGGGCGACCGACGCCGTCTAGCGTCTCCTGAGAGTCTTCTGAATCTTCTTCCAAATCTGTCCACGTTCTAGTTAGAATGATTACTCTTGAGAGAGGTCACATCAAGGGAGGATATGAAGACTTACCTTTGCCATCATGGAAGGCTAAGCCATCTTGCCGAGCAATACCATCTGCATCCCCTTCATCGACCCGGTACAGAGACTTGCGCAGGTCGCCTCTTCCCCACCACATACCCTTACGTACAGTGCGTGGCAAAGGCGCGCCCAAACCGAAGACTGGCTTTGACTTTTGCTCATTGTACCAAGGGTTCAGTGAGAAGTAATCGTTCTCGACGTCTACAGTCTGCTGTTGCTTCTTCTCAGGTCGTCGCGGCGGCTCTTGCCGAACATTCTCGCGAGTTGCCCGGCTCTTTCGAGCAGTGGGCGTGTTTCTGATGGTGCCCATTTGGGTCATACCCGTTGCAGTAGTGGTACTGCGCTCATTCTCGGGTCGTGACTCCAAACGAGCGGTGTCAAGTCTCCCGATACTTGGTGCATTGGAACGACTTTGTGCCAAACCCGATGGCATGCGTGTTGCCGAGGGTTGCTGTCGTGGCTCAGGCGTTGCTGCAGGTCTTTGGGATGTAAAGTAATCTGACTGCTGCCCTGTAGAAGGTTAGTACATCTAATTTCTTGATGCCAATGAGAAAGAAGCTCTTCTGGCTTTCGGGAGAAAATTTGAGCTTGTTCAATAACTTACTGTTGTCAGCTTTGTTCGGCTGTTGTTGCGACATGTTGTATGCTCGTTTCTTCCTATGCCTCAAGGCAAGCAGACCCTGACAACCTTATATCTGATATGTACTGGACGTGGGAGTAAAACAGGGGCGTGGGAGGTGCCAAGTGTACAACATGGTGAAAAAGTAGTCCCGCGATTAAGCCATGGGAAAGTGAAGAATTCCATGCAAAACGTCATTTGCAGGGAAGCTTTTGCCTAGTAAGCCCACGTCCCCATTATTTCGGAGCGACTCTTGGTGACGCGGAATCACACATTCCAATCATTTGGACGGGTTTTCATGTTGAGTGGGTGCGTACCGTTTCGGGAACTCAGCTTCAGTGGGTATGCCCTGATAAGAAGGGTTCCATCGCGATCCTCAGGGTTGCGGCAAAGTGTGGCGTCGTGCGGATCGTGAGATTGCTGAACATCGGCATCTTTACTGTGGGTCGCATGCGCGTTCCGCGGAGCTGAAGCCTTTGTCGTCGACATAATCGGAGCGACAGATTGACATTATGGTGTCTTGTGAGCGAAAGAGTCATCAAAAGCCTCCTCGGAAAGTGTAAGAAGAATTGATGCAGGAACCGCGTAGGGAATGTTTAGGTGCAGATCATCCGAGAGCCTCAAGAACAGTCTCAACCAATAAGCACCACAACGCTCGAGAGGCCGCAATAAGCGGCAGCGGCGATGCCGACTCATGGCCTACCTAGACAATCACACAAGCCACACTTCTCTGACAGAGAGTTCGGGACCAGAGCCGATGGTGCACCACGATCATGCAGGTGAAGACGCACTATTGCATCGTAATGTGGAGACTCGGCCAAGATTTCTACGTTTGCCCGATGATTTCCCTGCGACATTGCCGTCCCTGGAGGACTGCATTGCTGTATTTACACATGCACCATCCATGCACTGAAGAACGCCCCAGTGTCTGCGTAAGCTCCCGCCGCCGCGGTGTGATAGTACAATGTTGAGCCCGATCCCGAGGTCCGAACATTCGCATGGTGGGTCGATGGGCAGCCTTTGGCAGATCCCACACCCCACGCTCAACAGCTTCCAAGTATCTATGCAGTGACTTCTATCTACAACCTCACGACACTGCCATCAGCTTGTTCTGCTCCTGAGCCAACGTTAGGCCTTCCGGTGCTTGTCGGAATAGCACGATCTCGGATTGCTTAAAGTATCGACGGGCGTCTGGATACAGGTCAGTCACAGTTGAGTAGAGATGTGTGTATGTCATACCTTCGTCGATGAGTACTAGACTCAAGTAGTATCGGGTGGAGTACTTCTTGTTGACTTCGCGGAAGGTGGGTGTCAGGTCGAAGCCTCCGAGGAACAACCTGATGGGGATTGTTTCACCTTGACGTCGTCAGTAATGCCTGTCGCAAAAGAGTCGTTGTGCTTACCTCGCGACGGTGAGCCGTCCATGATCTCGAAGCGCACCAGCGTCTCGCTCTCGTTGTACTGGTTGGGCGCAGCCCCCGTTGTCTCTCTTCTTATGATGGACAACTCCATGTGCTTGATCTTTAACCGTACCAACAAGAAGTATATCCTACCCACAATGACGTCCTTCAGGTGGTATTTCGATTTCGAGTACTCGAACTCAATGTGCAGGCAGTCTTCGATACCGACGTCCATCTTAATGGAGCTGTTGGTCTCGGGCGGTATCCGGTAGGAGTAGACCCAGAGGTCCTTCTCTCTGACTACGTCTGCCATTCTCCGCGACACGGTGACGCGCACAAAGTAGCGCAGCTTGACGTTGATGCCATTGTAGGATTCGTATTGCTTCTCGACGTTTTTGAAGTTGAAGTCGAACGTCTGCGGGTGCTGGAGCTCGCCGGGGGCTGCTAGCTCTTGGCCAAGGGAGAGGAACTCGTAGTGGTTTCCGCGGTCGAAGAACATCTCTGGCGCATTATGTCAGCACTGCGCGCCCAGATATAGCTATGGTGAAGCTCCGGGACGGCGGATGCCTACCAATGGTGCCGATGAATTGCACCTTGATGCCGGTGTGCTCGAGGCGCTTGCCATCCTTGGGCCTTACGGTGACCTGGCCTTTGACTGATTCGCCATCGAGGTACAGCGGTACCTTCTCTTTGCGGTTCTTGTCGAGCTTGACATCAACGGCGGAGCGGTCGTCGAGGTCCTCGAGCACGATGTCGATGTCGACCGGGGTGGAAAAGAAGTACGACATTCCGGGCCAGAGAAGTGCCGGTCGATTGGCGCGTGTTCGGAAGCGGTATCAGAAGCACTCGTCGCGTCGGTGGTCGGCGGCGCTCGACTGGATGGCCGTGGTGTGGAGAGCTGCGCCCCAGATCCATGGCAACAGCTGATGACGCTTGTCCGCGTTGAGCCCGTCACGTGAGCGCATCCTGCCCCGCCTTCCCCGATGCCTCACCAACACCACCTCGTCATATTCACCCCCAGGTATCCTTGTTTCGGTCTTCACTGGGTCCACGTCACGTCTGACTGCTGCTCTCGTCGGGTCAGATGGTCCTCCACATGCCCCTCCCGAGCCTGCGGAGATGGGCACCTGCATACGAAACAGCAAATATGCACTCGTTTGGCGGTGAGCTGCACACGAGCAGCTGCAATATCGCGGCGTCGTGACTGATCGGGTCTGCCTGCACGTCGCGCTCAAACGTTCTCACCCGTCTGGACTATCCGGAGCATCTGCCGGATGCCGCCCCAAAGACTAATCGACTAATCGCAACTCAAACACTGTTCGCAGCCTCGATCCTCACCGGCCCGATGCACTTTGAGATTCCTCGCCTAACCCCCACGCGCCATTATCAAACAGCTTCGTACCGCGAGTCAAAGCGGTGAGCTGAAGTCTATTGCTTCCAGGCAGATGCTCAGTCGAATCGCAATCTACTCAGCAGAGCGCCCTGCAGTTGCCTGGCATTCAGAACTCAAGTCTGCGCTGGCATGTCGTGGTCACCGGCATGCGGGATGCATAAGTACCTGAGAAGGACTGGGGTCCTCATGCGGGGAGACTGATGCGCTACTCGTCATCCCACACGCGACAGGTCCACTTTCAAACGCCGAAGTTCTCTCTCTCCAGCCCCGGCTTCGCGGCTGTTACAGCCGGCTGGGCCTGTTACTGAAACTAGCTACACGCCCTTGCTCGCCATTCGCTGTTTGCTTTTCGGAGCGTGCCATCGTGGCTTGGCTCCCAGAATAACGACAAGCTCCATCGCATTTCACCCTTGCCGTTGCCGTCATGGCTTGCGGGAGAAATTTCCAGACCAGTATTCCAAGGTCCCACGCCTTAAAACGCACCACGCCCCAGCGCGAATCGGGGCGCCGTTGATTGCTTACAGTCTGCATACACTTATATTTGGTCCCGACCATATCGCAATATACTATATTAACCCTACCCGACACCCGTCCCTTTGTTTTCGGGAGCCCAACTCAAGCATTAGCGTCATACAAGAGCCTCACGTACTACAAACACTCATTTCCACAACAGTTTGACTCAAACTCCAAACTCTGTACCACCATGATGCAAACCGTCGATCTATCGCAGCCAAAGCCCATACAATATGCATCACCACCTACACCACCGGCTTCCAATACAGGCTCGCCATCCAAGTCCATGGCTGTTATGAACGAGACCGAGACCGCCAAGATGACCATTTCAACCCACCACCACATCCTCATCGTCACCGGTCCAGCAGGGTGCGGCAAGAGTACGGTTGCAAAGCACCTCTCAGACCGATATGGATTTGACTACATCGAGGGCGACGAGGTTAGCCATACCCTTTCAATCTACCTAATGCGTACTAACGTCTTCGCAGTTCCACCCAAAAGCAAACATCGACAAGATGGCCGCCGGCATCCCTCTCAACGACGAAGACCGCTGGGACTGGCTCATCCTTCTACGAGACCAGGCCATCACTGCACTGAAGAACGGAGCCAAGGGCGTCGTTGTTACCTGCAGTGCGCTCAAGAAGAAGTACCGCGACGTCATCCGCACAGCCCGCCTCTACGACGAGGACCCAAACGCCAACGTACACTTCGTCTACCTCCGCTCCGACATGGAGACCCTCCTCGCCCGCGTTCGCGCCAGACAAGGCCACTACATGAAGGACGCCATGGTCGAGAGCCAGTTCGCTGCGCTGGAAGAGCCCGACGAGACAGAGTGCAAGCAACTGAAGGATGTGGAGATCATCGACGTCAAGGGCAGCATACAAGACGTTCAGCTACTAGCCGGTGCTGCTGTTGACAAGGTTCTTGCGCAATAGCACGACGCCTGTAGCATCAGCTGGCTCTGATCTCACCTTTCGTTACGTCTTGTTCTTTTTCTGGCTGGTGTTGGGCAAGTGCGCAGGAACGCTGTGCGTGGGTTGTGGCTCCTTGGTTTACTTAGTTACGGCGTTCTATCTATATCACTATACCCTCGCGAGACGGGACAGCATACATGGTTTGCGGAAATGAACAGTTTTGACTTCACAACTTCTGACCCTTGACATGACCTATCGTGACTACCCACCGCCAATCTTTTCCCCTGCATCCCATGACATCGGTCGGAAAGATCTTCCTCTTGTCTCAGCCTAATGCTTGTCGGTTCCTTAGTGCCCGTTTCTACACGTGTGCGATCGAACTTCCGGTGTGTGCGGATCTACCTCCTAACCCCGCTCTTCGTTACCAGCAAAGGATGCATGATGGCCCGCGGCCTATGTGGCTTGGACCACTTCACGACGATGACTAGATCTCCACTGCATTAACGGCTGTCTTCAGTCTTGGCCAAACATGACAGCTCTACGGTTGACGCTCTCGCTTACCGACTTCGTTTTGTAGGTTCGGCCTACACTATCGTGCTAGGGTATCTTTTTGCTAAGATTACCAGAGCTGGGGGGCGCATAGTTCATTTCAGACACAGGCAATGAGGATCATGGTTAGCCATGGGTATATGAGCAATACGATGATTGCTTAGGAAGCGCTCCAAATGACTCAGCCTTGAGGACGAGTCTGACAACAACGTATAGAGACACGAGACTGGGTACTCGATATAGTCATAAGCACAATTCGAAACGCGAGAATGGTTGAGTACGAACACCATCTCTAAACTACCTTCCCAAGCCTCGGCAACGAATCTAAACGCTGTGGAAGCGATAGCCGCGTCGACCCCACTTCTCTCTCGACGGTAATGTCAACTCCCTTCCCTCCCCCAGCCATAGGCCTCAACTCCGTCTCACTACCCCACTCATTACTTCCCTTCCTATCCTGCTCACTGCTCGGCAACCTCAACGTGGTATTTCGACTCCACCTATGCATACTATACACACGACGAGATCTGCTTTGTGCTCCCGATGAAGCTGGCTCCGCAGAACCATACACCGGCGGCGCAGAAGGACTCGGTCGTGTCCGCCCCATCTTGCCATTGAGCAAGTACCTGAACGCCGGCAGTGTAGCAACGATGATAGATACAGACGACTCGATGTGACTCCACATACTGAGTAGCACGGGCCCATCAGCAAGGGTCGTCGGATCAGGGTTCGAAGTAGCCTTTGTGACTTGTGCGAGGCGCGCGAACGCGAAAGCGATAATGATGGTGCCGAGGGAGAATATAACTGCCAGCCCGAACTTTTGTTGGGGCGAGACTTGTAGTTTGCGTAAGAGGTTTAGAGGGAGGAGCATGATGAGGGCGTCGGCAATGACGTCGGCGCTCGTTGCGAACTTGATGGATGCGTCGGCTCGGATGAGGTCTTCGGGGTCGCTGCATCCGGCTATCCAGGTTAGAAGGGTTTGTGGAGAAGGATGAGGGTGGGGTACTGACTTGCGCTCCAGTACTTGGGTAGTGGTCGGCAGGTTAGGAAGTTGGAGGCGATGCATGCGAGGTAGAGGAGTAGGACTAGGATGAAGGACGCCCACCATGCTCGCATGTATACTGGAAGTCCTATGACCAGCCGTTTGAAGAAGAAAAGAATGGAGAACTTGGCTAAAGGTACGTATCAGTAAGATAGCCTGCTCACCAGTTTAGCAAGCCCACTCACCAGCCCACAATGTAGTCCAAAACAATAGCATCTGGCTGAACATGAACTTGAGCGACGTACGTGTTCTCTCGATAAATTCATCCGGCAGTAGTGGCAAGGGCGTAAGCCCATCCAATATAGCCGCTTTTGAGTATTCCTGCGCATGAAAGAATTGTGGAAGCAGACATGTGATGACTGCCGAGAGGGCAGTCAAGGAGAACAAGCCGAAGAAGACGAAGTAGTCGTCTGCGAAGAGTCGGTGCTGGGACTTCCATCGCAGAATGCCCCTGAGGATTGTGCAGAGGAATGATACACCCCAAAGGGTCCATATCAACTGCTGTCCAGGAGTTAGAGCTGTGAACTGTATTGTTGTTGTTCGACTTACCATCAAATCGGTGTAACTGAGCGCCATCGTGATGTTGACTCAGTATCTCTTCAGCTGGAATGATGATACTGCGATCCGAGTGGCCTACCTGCAAGATATGTATCTAGTCTTAACATCGTCGTACATGTCGCCTTCGTCACTATCTCAACACCAAGACTCGCATTCGCATTCGGCCCCATCCTGGTTTGCATCGCGAAGCCTGATCTATGAGACGGTGGGTGCCGCAGATACGCCGTTTCCTACATGGTAGTCTTCGATGAATCCGTCCGTACATGGCGTGCATTCGATGGCGAGCCAAGTCCAACCAGTTGATACGGGTTGAACGGCGAGGTACAACTGCGCACGCAGGTGGCGGCAAAATTACGGCCCAATTCTTCCAAGCTGACCCTGCATGACATTTTGTGTTGCTCGCATTACGAACGTCCTACTGAAGTAGCACCTCCGGTACCATAACTTGATCTCGGCCCTTTTAGAAGCCATCTCCCTAGGTTCCGCAGCGGCCGAACCGATCTCGCGGGTGGACATGGTGCGATTATGTTGTACCTTCCTTCCCCGATTAAGCTTATCGTGAAGCATGTTAATGAAGACGTTGGACGATACACCGCATATTCATAGGAGATGCATGGGTTGTATTGTCAGAGTTTTGTACACAATCGCCGAACCAGATCATGGGGATCGTTCATCATGCATCGGCGACCTTCCAACCACCAGGCATGAGGTTAGTGTATACCTTGAGAGGGTCATACTTGGTACGAATACTCTTCAGCCTCCTCAAGTTGGCAGCGGGATAGCTCTGGAAAATGGGCTGACCCTTCCCAGCATCGTTCATGTAGAGATAGTCAGCGCTGTACGATCCCGCGCGCAGCAAGCTGTTTATGCTCGCTGTAATCTCATCAGCAGCAGCTCGCACTTTCGCGTCATCGCTCGCTGAAGACCAAGTAAAGTTCTCCACCATCCAAAAGAAGGGTGCTTTCGAAATATCGATGCCTTGAGGATTACCTCCAGTCTTCACGCTGTGCGAGAGGAATGCCTTAGTGATGGGCTGGAAGGTAATCGAGGCCTGGAGATTGGCAACGCTGGGCAACTTGGCGTTGACACCGGAGACGAAGGTGTCGTGAATGAGCTGCACGGCCTTTCGGTCAACAACGGACGAAAGGGTGCGGAATTCCTGGCGCAGTCCCAATGGCTGCAGGGCATCTGTAGCTGAGATGTAGTCTGACAACGGCTGCAGTGCGTATGAATCAGCAACTGGGGTGAGCTTTGGCGCAGTGAAGTTCTCGAATACTTTCGGGTTGTCAGTGACGGAGTGGTAAAACTTCGCAGCCGCATAGACAGTCATGTTCGCAGCCGGGAAGGTAAGAATAGTCGGAATAATGGCAGCTTTTGGGTCAGACCCTCCATATTTCCCAAAGTTGTACACGCCGTCCAGGTAGCCGGATGCTTGAGTTTGATCGAATTGACCGATGCCGACGTGAACGTCGCTGCCCTCCACAGGTCGCAAGTCAAATCGCGTGACGATGCAGAACGAATTACCGCCGCCCCTCAATGCCCAGAAGAGATCTGAGTACTTGTTCGTTGCCGTCGCTTCGACGACTTGACCGCTTGAAAGCACACACTACCCATTTTTAGTCATGTGTAACTTTGTACAGAGGATTGGCGACATACCTCATACTTCATAACATTGTCGGAAGCGAATCCATACTCCGATGAATAGAAAGAGATGCCGCCACCGAGTAACAAGCCAGGAACACCAACGTGGCCCACACGACCACCGACAGCTGCGAGCCCAGATGGTTTCAGATAGGCGTAAACGTCTCTCCACCTGTTCCCGGGTCCGACAGAGACGACAGACTTGTCTGAGGAGAGTGACAAGGTCGTCAGATTGGAAGAAGAGATTAATACGCCGGAGCCATCAATCCCGTTGTAATTAGGAATTGGCATATGCCCTCCACCTCGCATGGCAAATTTGGAACGGGTTAGGGTCATGGTGGTGACCGCGTAGGCAACTTGCTGGGCATTTTGTGGAACGAAAACGCATGCAGGGCTGCTGTACACCGTAGCTGACCAGTATGCTGTGAATTGTTAGTGAAGATCGGGCCGAATTTTCGAGGATCTTATCGCACGCTCTTGTGTCTCATATAAGTAGCCGGAAGTTCCAGGCGAGAAGGTACTGTCGGGGTATTTAGATCTCAGCTTAGAGCAGGCGGCCTGCTCTCCACCAGAGAGGCTTTGTGCCGCACCTGCTGCGATGGACGGCGCAGCAAACAGCAAAGCTGCGACACCTACCAGTAGTACCATTCTGAATGTAATGGGAGGATAGCAAAAGGTGAACCTGATGGGCACCAATGGGCGAACGTTGATGGTTATGAAGAATTTCGGTCGGATATAACCATCCGCCTACGCGGCTCAAATACATCTGAATGCATGTCGATCCAGCGCACCTAGATCTTCCGGATACCGGGGGTGTTGCCCATTGAGGAAGCAGGAAGGGCCGTCTGCATGTCCAGCATGTAAACTATGCAGTAGATCGCAAGCGAGGCAGTCGTGCCACCCGTATGTACGAGGCGGGTCTTCGCAAATAGTCCAGACATCGGGGCACACAGCTCCAGAGCCTGGATCTCATGAGCCAGCCGCAATGCAGCAAAAAAAAAGACGTACGAGAACTCGTGGACCGAATGCGATGGAGGGTTGAGGAGGCAAGGGATGCAAGGATGAGAACACGCGCTGTACGGCGCGGGCTGGCTAGCTCAAAAACGCCCCTCATCCTCCGATGATCAGTTAGCGCGGATGCCAAGGCTGACGACGTTTGTAGGCTCGATCCCGAGGTTGCTCTTACCTAGGTAACGACACATCAACGCTTCGCTCTTCGCATGCGAACATCCATCCTCTTGGTCTCGAATACTGACGCTCCATCATCACTGCACGCATCAATTCCATGACAATGTCAACGAGACACAGCAGACGCGTCTTGCGCGGCCTAGCTTCGCCGTAACGCGTGACGTCATAGCCTTTCGCGGGCACACGTCTTTCAGATGATGGCCATCAACAAGAGAAGGATGCAAGCCATGACATCAATTCTTCGACCGAGAGCGATGCAGTACACCAAGATCGTGAGCTGAGTGGGAGTGAGAAATGCCGTCCAGATAGAGTTGTGGGCTGACACGAGTACCAAAGTACGGGACATCTGGACGGTGAGGTCTGCGTCAACGCACAACATCCACGATACCCCTACTTAGTCGGATCGATATGGCCGTCCTTTGCGAAATTTTCGGCCGCTGTCCGCGTTGGCGTCGCGTCATCTGCAGTGCTATCAATCAGTCAACCGGGGCGGATATTGCATGCGGTCACAAACCACGTGGGGCTTCCACTCTTTCGAGTACCTCTTCCTATCGAATAAGTGTTTCTGGAGCCCTTTGAACCATTCGGAGATCCTGGTACTGTCTTGGCTGTGCCAAAGTGGTGTGGTATTCATCTCCAGGACGTACCTGGGTGATCACTTATGACTACAACTGGGAGGCGATCTGGCCAACGTAAACTCATAACAGTCTTGCCGGTCTAGAAGATTATGCGTGATTAGACGCTGGTAATGACGAATATGTTGCGGCGGTGGGCAGTCGGCGGTCGCGTAGTGAACGTGGACAGCGTTTGCCTAACTAAACACAACAACAACGCGCACGACCAAATTTCTCCTCTTTCCAGTGCGCGCTTCTCAAGTGCGCTGCAAATTTTTCGTCGGCTGCCTTTTCGCTCCATTTCTTGCCCTGCACCACCGCTATCGCTACAACAGCAACACGCTTCACGCTCATTACCTCGATCGCAACTGTAACAACATCGCCGTTATCATAGAGTCGTAATTGAGCGAAGACCCCGGTTTTCGATACACACTTTTACTGGCTGGGGCCTAAGGTACGTGGTGCACTTCCAGCCCAGCTGCGATGAGCGCTGTACACACCTACATTGAATACTTGCGCTCTATTTTTTGGACGCGGCAGTACAGGCTAACTATTTTACTACAGAAGGCGCTCACTGAGCGCGCTTACCTACGCCATGTTGTCGGCTGCAGCTACGGCCTATGCCTTCCATCACGTCGTTCTACCACCGAAGCTACCACAGCAGGACGACCGTGAGACCGTATACGAATTGGGCCTACTCGAGATCGCCGTCCACGCCCTCGAATCTCTGAAGCTCAACGTCAAACACGAGCACATTGGAACTATCACATCTGCCATAGCGACTGTCAATAACCTTCGAGGTTGCCGAGACGATCAAGGCAACACTAGTCAGTGTCAGCTACAGGACGTTCTTGTCAAAGCTACGAACGGTGTCACAATCGGTGCAATTCCCTTGGAGATCAAGGAACAAAATGCCGGAATCCTTGTGAGCCGCTCTTCGGATGGCCTGGACTTCGAGTTCTTCGAGCTTTCGCCAACCAATGCGGCCGCGATGAGCCCAGGTCGCCTAGTGCGAACGTTCCCAGCTTATGCATCAAGGATACCCGTTGGAGACGTCAACCCAGAGCTTCTTGAGTCTATCGCTGGTACTCTAGCCACAATGACGACGCAGCCTGTGCCTGGTTTCCAGCCTCACATTACCAAAAACCACGTACAGATGGTCGAGGAGCGCGATACAACACATCCGGGCCTGGCCTGTGACTTCTTGATGAACATGATCAGCGCCTTCGGAGAGCCGATGGATGTGAAGCGTATCACGAAGAACACTCGTGAGGAAGTCCTCTGGTGTCAGTGTTTGGCACCGTGGCGACGGTCTCCCTTGTGGCTGTTGCTCCGTGTTTCGCTGCAACTGGTGTTCGCTCGCAAAGCACCCGACACGCTCTCTGGTGACGGTCTTTATAAAGCCTTCATGATTTTCCTGCTAGCACGGATAATCGACCTAGCGAAACACCACTGGAAGGAAATGGATAGCGAGGCTATATACATTGCCTCATCCAAGCTGACTCAGCGATTGCGCAAGTTCTCGCTCCTCAAGCAGACAGGATGCTTGCAGCCAGGCTGGGCGCAGCATATCCACGACAAGATGCTCGACGCTCACAAACTCATCAAGCAGCACTGGCAGAATCGAATTGACAGCTCTCGAGCTAATGTCAACTTCAACGCAATCGCCAGTCTGAAGCCTGAGGCCGACCTCGATATGTACCTCTTGGGCTTAGATGTCTTCTTATCCAGCATCAAGTCCCGACAACAAGAAGTTGAGCTATCTACATTCTCGCCAAGCGACGAGTATCCATCCTACCACGCTACTGAGCTACCAACTAGCCTGCAGCTATCAGACACCGATGAAGGTAGATACTTTCGTCTAGCCGCTATAGAGGATTGGGTCGAACATCATCTTGCTGGCTGGGCTAGTCATCATCTTCACGATGAGAATGCGTGTAGCAGACTCTACGGTCTGATTACCAGCTATTTTGGAGCCGCCAGTAAAGCCTACGCTCGAGATCCTATCGGTATGTCGATCATGTATCTCACAGTCACTGAGTTGTGGGTTGCATGCGATACGATCGCCTGTAATATCTATCCCCTGCTGTTCGACTACGATCCTGAGGTCGACCTGACAGAGTTTCAATGCCTCACACTTCCTCTGAAGAGCCATCTACAGCGCCTGCACGCCGTCGAATCCTACGTTCAATCACGACGCCCCCAACGAAAAGAGCAGAGATCATCTGTTTTTCGGGAGTTTGGACACCTCTCTTCCTTCGCTGTCAGATACTACGATCAATGCCAGTCACTCCAGGCTACACTATCGAAGATTGAGATTGATGCAGCTGCCAAGCGTCAAGAGAAGTGTGAAGAGCTGGTGGATCTCAAGCGTCAACACGCAGATTACATGAATCGCTACGAGACTACCGAGTGTCAGTACGTGACATCGGTATACGACTCCAATCATGGATACACGGAACAGAAGCATTCCAAGAATTGCGACAGGTGTACAGCCAAGAACATGGCAAATGGGCTCACGGTTGAGCTTTTCGAATGGCCACTTTCACCTAAATTGCCCGAAGCAAAAGCAACGATCTTCGAATTGATGATTCCTGAAGCATACAGCGACTGGCGCGAAACAACAGCCTATCTCATCACCACTGTTCTCGGCTACAAGGACGCGAACTTGACACGACCATCCTGCTCATATACGCTCGACATGCATCATGACTTGTCGCATTTCATTTCTTCTCGGTATCATGAGCGGCGTATTGTGCCGCTCTCGCAAGTCAAGAGCCACACTGTTACCCACCGGAAGATGAAGAAGGCCATTCCACACTTGACTGACAACAATGTCTGTCTCCAAAATGCGCTACAATACAAAATGTATGACACTTGGGAAGGATCTTTTACGAAACAGCCGAGTTGTACAGGGGAGGTATCGGAGAACTGTATCTACCACTTGCCGGAGCGATCAAAAGCACTTGAACGCTTCATGCATCGACCGCCAACTTCACCGGACGGTGAGCAAGCCAACGAAGTGATTGTAAGTTGAAAGCCAAGCCTCCTACTGATATATCAAAACATTGGCTTTTATGCCCCGTTTACACTCTGGTTAAAATGCACTCCGAAGGTGTTCAATACGTTGTACACCTTTAAAGTGCAAGACAGAGAGACGGGACTACCTTCGAGATACATCATGATCGCAATTCAGATGAACCCTAGTAATGTAGCAAAGATCTGGCTAACGCTTCAAATATAGGCTAGTTTATTTGACTGTCCAGTTCACTTCTCCATCGACGAATACAAAGCTTTGGCAGCGCTACCTTTGGGACACAACATCGTCTACGCAAACATACTCGCTCAACTTGCGATTCCTACTGTCGACTTCACGAAGATCGAAACGCAATGCATGGTATTACAATCTGTACAGCAGACTGGCCCGCCAAGCCAACGCATCGAGCGTGAAAGCCATCTGATCCTTGCCGAGGCTTCTTTCGGTCATGCCATGCTTCGACAGTTAGAGACAGGGCTGGAACGCATTCGAATGAACAGCCAATCATGGCGATCGGCAGCTACATTCTCTTTGCTCGCTCGAAGGGTGCTGAGCTTTGCATCAGCATTAGAAGTTCGCGTTCGTGCAATCGACTTCCTGGTCGACATGCACACTGTCTGCCATGCCTGGCTGAGAGCGCTGACTGAGAGGGCGGCTGCCATGCCTAACGAAAGCTTGGAGATCGCGCTGTTGTGCATCAGCACTTATGACGTCGAGGAAGCTGATGTTGCGACCATTCTTCAGCGAAAGTCGGCAATTTCCATATTGCTTCAATCGTCGATCGTCATTCAGGAGAAGCACGGGGCAGTCCTATCCGAGCACCCAGACTTGTTCAACGTTACATTACGAGCTTGGAATCGTCTGATGTATCGCTTGCTACCTACGCTACGCACCCTTATTCTCAAGGATAGTCGCGGTCTCTCGGAGGCTATCACCGCGAACTGGTTTGCGTTCGAGCCAACTTCACCTCAGGGTTGGCAAGCGCTCCCCGAGCATCAAGAACATTGGCTTCATACTAAGTCATTGAGGTCAGGATCAGAGTCAGGGCATCTGCCAGTACACTTTAACTTGTTTACTGGTGAGCTGCTTGTCAATGGACTTCCTCTCGATCGACTGCCCTCAGAATACATGCGCCACATCATGTACGCGCCACTGTTCGGTAAATCAACCCTGGAAGTCGTGCCGACAGGAGAGCCTGGACTAAGGTTCTCGGCGAAGATGAAACACAAAGAATACAATCTTCACTTCGGCATGAGTGGCGATGACATGCTTCTGTTGGCTATCGGACATGGCAAGAAGCTCGAGTTGCTTCCTTCACGTCTTTTTCAAGGCTTGTTACCTCAGTCTTTGGTGACAGATGCAGTCCACTTCTATGATTCAGAAGCTCAAGAGGTCATCTTTCAACCATTGTACTCTCCATGGCCTACTGAGATTGATGCTGCGTGGTGGCGTCTCGTCCGACACGCATCATCATGGCGACTGGTCAAAGGCGAGACTATCATGATCGATGTCAACAGCTACACAGCTCGTACGATAGCCGCTGTTTTAGCCCCACTTGAGAAGCCGCTGCATATGCACATACGTCTTCTTGATCCAAATCAAACACCGAATTCTCGCGTTGAGATTGAGTTACCGCGCCTACAGATCGCTTTCGATCTAGATGGAAATGACAATCATTTGCGTTCTCGCCAGTATCGCAACATGGTTGTTGATCCGGACCAAACGATGGGCACCCTCGTAGGCTTGCAGAGCAGGTTGATACTGAGGTCCACGGAGAATCGTATGGTTCTTATCCCGCACGGGTTTTTTGACTTTGCGATCACATCCAAGATACCTGCTGGACCGTTTGCATCTTGCAATGAATCCATTTCCCAACATACCACGGTTCGGCTGGTGGATAACTCCGCGACTCGAATTCGCGCGTATCATATGGACGAAACTCTGGGTCAGATCGATGGCGATGGAAGCATGCAGAGCCGCCTCATGCTGTGCTATCTGCATGCGCTAACGTCTCACTACCTTCCGGATCCTCTGACTGGATGTACCGGCACCGAATCTGCTATCTCAATTCTCAGGTCTGCAGCGGTACGATCGATCGACCTTCTCACGTCAGAAGATCTGGATCTACTGGCTCGTATAGCAGACCTATCGGGCGCGAGGATCTATTACCCTGCACATCTGGAAGAAATGCAGACCACGAGGTGGGACGCGAGACTCCCCTCACTCGCGCACCACCCTTCATTTCGGATCCTAGTATCAGGCCTACTAGAGCAAGCTGCTCGGATGCAAGTATTTCACCCAGACAAATACGTGATGTTTCAAGGGATCCAAATGGCCCATGTTAAGTTGCAGGAGGCTTCAAACCCCGATTTGGACAAACGATCTGCAGTTCGCACAGCCACATATCGAGTTGCGAGTTTCGGCGCAGAGGAATGGACCTCTTCGCTAGACGTGCAGTACGCTGCGCGTGACATCCAATTGATTCCAAAGAGAGGAGAACGAGCTTATGTGATAGCCAGCTTGATCTTGCGCAATCAATTTGCTCTTCACAACCCCATACCCGATCTCAAAAGCGTACTTGTTCAGAAACATATCGCTAGCGCTACTGTTCACGGAGTGGACCATATGTATGATCTCAGACGTCTTGGATATGATTCAAAATGGTTAGGGCTCGCATCGGAGCACATCAAGACTGCCTGGTGCTCTTTACAGGAAGGTTTGACTGGTGTAACTACATACGTCAATCACTACAACCTCGCCACTTGGCTTTCCACAATGGCCTTCGCAGACAATGCCGACTTCGATGTCATCCAAGCTCTGGCTCTGTTTTACAGATCACCGCAGGCTTTCTCAGCGGTGCAGCCACCTGCAGTGCCCGAGTTTGACCTCGCTTGGGGGCATGACTTCCAGGACTGTCAGATCACCGCTACTCTGCGGCTCGAATCCAAACAGTATGGACAATCTGCCGAAGCTTCACTACCTAAGTTAGACTCAGAGAACAAGCGGCAGCATCGCGATAGGAAGAAGCAAACATTCGAACATCGGAAGGACAACGCCATACAGGGATTTGTGAGCAGTCTATCGGCACAATGGCCAGTACAGAGTCCCACAACACCATCAGCGACGGAGTATACCACATATCTCAATGTATCCAAGTCTATGGCAGCAATACGGATACGGATTGAACATTGGTACAACAATCGCCAGTTCATGGATTATTTGGCCCACGTTTCAACGGTAATAGCGCACCAACCTGCCTCGAGCGTGGTGGCGCCGCGCCACGTACTCACTCTTCCACCCCAGAAAGGCTACATTGGCGAAAACATACATCATTACAACGCGTTGGACATCTTCGCTGCCGCGCCACCTCCGACTACCGGTCTCGTTCCACCTTGCGAACCCCAGGTGACCATCGCGAGGGTACAGCGTCCTGAGAACCAATCTGATATGAGCGAAAGACTTTCCGCTTTCTGTGAGCATCTTATGACAGGCGCGAAGTCTGTGTGTGAGCAAGAGTATGTGGAGACTCTACGATCAAGCTGCATAGCCTTGGACGCGCACGTCGCCAACAACAACATGCGCGACGAACTGCTTGTGAACGCCCAATCTTTGCTTCAAGGGTATCTGCAAGACTGCCAGAAACACATCGCAGACTTCAATTTCGCCCTGAAGGACCATTTGAGCAGCGAAGTCGGTGTTCAGATACAATTCTCACCACGAATTCATCCTAAATTTTGGTTGAGTCAACTCCATAGAGACTGCTTCGATAACCTGTCATATCCTTGGCAAGAGACTGTCATCAGGTATGCGCTTGCTATCACTAATCTGCAACGCGCTCAGAGGTTGTTCCGCCTATCCAATAACCTTGTCGACCTCCTCGACGAGCTCAGACACGTTGGCCATTCCAACTGGGATGTATACCAGTATCCCGAAACTCTGCTGATGGAAGCTGAGAGCGGTATGCTTGTCAGGAAAGAGCAGGAACACATTGCGAGCCATATGCGTTCACCAAAGGATGGTCATAATGCTGTGCTTCAATTGCTGATGGGAGGTGGCAAGTCGACGACCATCTTGCCCATATTGAGCGCTTTCCATGGCGACAAGAAGAAGCTTGTGCGAGTAATCGTCGGAAAGCCCCAGAGTAAACAGATGCTGACAATGCTGATCGCCAAGCTTGGCGGCCTGTTGAACAGAAAGATCTACCAACTGCCCTTCTCGCGCAACCTCCGACTGAATGCTCAAGATGCCAACACCATCCACGAAATCTACAAAGAATGTGTTCGCGAGCGCGGTGTATTGCTGGCCCAGCCAGAGCATATCCTATCGTCAAGGTTGATGGCTGTGGAATGCGTACTTGTCGACGATTCAGAGACCGCCCAGTCACTGTTAGCAACTCAAAAATGGCTCGACGACGTGTCTTGCGATTGTATCGACGAAAGCGACGAGGTTTTCTCTACCAAATTCGAGTCTGTTTACACGATGGGCACCCAGCGAGCGATTGACTACGCCCCTGAGCGGTGGTTAATCATCCAGGAAGTTCTAGCCCTCATTCCAAATGTGGCCAAGCGGGTGAAAGAAGATCTGCAAGAGGCTGTTGATATACAGAGCGATGGAGACGGGATGTATCCCAGGATCAGGTTCCTCCGAACTGACGCTGCTGATCGAATTGTGTATCTTCTTGCGACACGGGTCGTCGAGTCGGGCATAGGAACTCCTTCTCGCACGCAGTCACCAGCCATGCAAGCGGCCATCTTGCACTATATCTCCGTATCAGAACTTGAAGCACATGAGATTGAAGCGGTGGAAGAGAGCATGTTCTGGACCGAGACAACGAAGCCGGCAATCCTTCTCCTACGTGGCTTGTTCGCCGGTGATATTTTACGATTCGTCTTCCAGAAGCGATACCGTGTGGACTTTGGCCTGGACAGTCACCGTACCCCAAGCACTCGCCTAGCTGTTCCGTTCCGCAGTAAGGATGCTCCTTCGCCTAGGAGTGAGTTCTCTCATGAGGATGTGGTCATCGTCTTGACGCAACTCTCCTATTACTCCAAAGGTTTGGGTGAGGATGATCTTTTCGAAACGCTCACCCATCTTTTGAAGTCAGACCAAGCGGTAATTCACTACGACGAGATCGTGAGTACTGCATCTTCGAGTCTTCCCAAGGCTTTCAGGCATCTCTCTGGCGTCTCCATACGCAATCGAGATCAATGCATCGCCGAAGTGTTCTCAGGTTTGAGACATTCACGGAAGGCCATCGACTACTATCTCTCGTACCTCGTCTTCCCGAAAGAGATGAAGCACTTCCCCCAAAAGATCAGTGCGAGCGGCTGGGATTTAGCTGGGACCAACAAAGTCAACGCATCCACCGGCTTCTCTGGCACCAATGATACCCTGTATCTGCTCCCACTCGACATCAAGCATCTGGATCTACCGAGTCAACAACACACCAATGCGGAGGTTTTATCGTTTCTGTTGATGGACGAAACATCCGTGGCCAATTTACCTGCCCGCGCAGTTGGTAGTACAGGGTAAAGTAGCCGTCATAAATACGTTTAAGAACTTCTAGCTAACTTATTATTAGTATGTAGCTTCCCAGCTAATATACACGAGCATGAGAATATTAGATATTGTCGCTCAGTCCCATCGCCGAAGTTCCCCTTAAGACAAGGAGTTCTCTGTCTTACCTCCGAGTATGAGTGGTGCTAACAGCTTAATAGATTTGGACGGAGAATATCTTCTCAATTTCATCGAGGGATTACATCCAGACATCAGGGTTATACTGGACTGCGGAGCGTCAATCTTACAAATGAGCAACCGAGAAGTAGCTGAAGCCTGGCTGAAGCTGCGAGACAACGACATCTCGGCAATAGTCTACTTCGAGAACGAACAGCTTTCAGTGCTGGACCGCACTTCGAAGGTCGAGTCTTTCCAAACTTCTCCTTACGCAAAAATGCTGGAATCGTGCATCGTCTATTTGGATGAAAGCCATACAAGAGGAACAGACATACCCGGGCTACCACGATACTACCGGGCTGCCCTAACGCTAGGCAGTCAACTGACCAAGGATCGCCTCACACAAGCTGCTATGCGACTACGGAAGCTTGGAAAAGGCCAATCAGTGTGTTTTGTCATACCCGGAGAGATACAGACAAAGATCTACGAGCGAAGCGGCAAGCCAATTGGTACTCCGATCGAAACGTATGATGTATTGGCGTGGGCGATCGGCGAAACCTGGGCGGACCTCAAGAGGTCACTAGCACTCTGGGCAATTCAAGGCCGGAGGTTTGAGTGCCAGAAAGGCATGTTGAACGGCCTTGATACTACCAAAGAACAAGCCAAGGCTTTTCTGGAAGATGAAGCGGCAGATTTGGAAACTCGCTACAAGCCATCTGCACCGAACAACGACGAGTCCGCGCACCTCGACAACTGGGACATGTCCAATGTCAACATCGTCAGCATCGTTTCACGATGCCGTAGCTTCGAAGCTATGGGTGGTTTTGAAGCAGCCGCCCTAACTAAGGAGCAAGAGTGTGAGCTTGCACCGGAAATCGAAATGGAGCGCGAGGTCGAGCGCCCACCACGCTTGAAGGCTCATCCACATGATGTTCATACAGATTTGGAAAGCCTCATCCACACTGGAACTATCGTCTACGGCTCTACGGCTTTCGTGCCTGCCTTCGTATCTCTCAACACCACGAGCGCTGGAAAGCTATTCAACCTGAGAAGTCTCCCCAATGACTTGCTGGTTACCGCAGACTTCATGCGCACTGTCCAAATACCCCCAGGATCAACCCGAGCATCTTTCGTTTCCGACTCGTACCAGCGCCCGGTGCAATTCATCTTGAGCGTGCCAAGCTTCAGCAGCCCAGGTACTATCAGCAAGCTCATCATTATGAGCCCCTACGAGGTCAATCAGTTGCTACCCCTGATTGGGCAGTCGGACAAGGTTACGCTACACATCTACGCTCCACGGTTTAACGTCAGTTATGCATCGATCGATGACCTCATGCTCTACAACGTCGGTCGAACTTTCTCGCCTGGTTCGGTCTCACGTAGCTTGACGATGCAGCTTAATCTCTTTGCCGGAAGTCTTTATCTGCGCTCGTTGTCTGAGTGGGCCGAACTCTGTGACCATCTTGGTCTTCTGAAGGACACAGTGGAAGACGGCCAGGAAGCCTCTCCAGACGGGTTTCTCATGCCGCCAGCCGGTATCTGGAACTTGAAGAAGTCTCCTGTTCCCTTCCTGCGAGCATGGCTTATGAAGGTTCGGCGCGAGGGAGAGGGTATTGAGAAGACCCATATGGGCAAGGTGCTAAGCGGGGCTAGGCTGGAGGAGAGCGATTTTGCGGAGGAGGAGTAGTCGGCTCTTTTGGGATGTGACGTCGGGATCTGGAGATGGAGATTGATGAGAGCGGGGAGAGAATGAATGCCACACGAAGAGGCGGTCATGTCATCGGCACAGCTCTACACCACGGTTAGGAGCTCTGTCAATGTGTCAGCAAGTAGTAGGTATAATGCACCTCTATGTGTAATTTCTTCGGCATAATCGCGTGATGCTTCCGAGCGGTTTTCCGAGGTGTCGCGCGTCGCGTGTCGCGTGTCGCCTCGGTACTGTCATCGCCCCATTGAGACTAGCGCGCCCACGTCATCAGCGCCAGCCCTGGAGGGAGTTAGGAGTCCCTGTCATTTGCTGCATACACGCCATTGAATCCTAACATCAATACAAGTCTTGTGGTTGTTTATGCGTCTACCTCCATGATGCTGCTAATTACATCTTTGTAGACTGCGACACGAATCACACCCAGTACTACAGTAGTGCGCGCGATTAGCTACTTCCGGACTCAACACCACACCCATACAATCAGGCATCACTTGTCATCAAGATGTTCGTAGAGCAACCTTCTCGATTCGCGCAATTCTTTGTCGCCAATATATACAAGAAAGAAGTCAATGTATGTACAATGCTTCCAGAGCGAGCACAACAGATGCACTGCATCCCCGCCATCCAATGAAATCTACCGATGTCCGCCGATTCATCCTCCACATGTTGTTTGAAGTCTTGCTCGAGGCAACTTAGCAAGAAGAGAGAGGCTCCTTGTAGATGCAGGAGTCGGAGGGGCCCTTGGAAACGCTCTCGGGCTCGCTGCCAGAAGCAACACCCTTGAACTCCTCGCAGATGACCTTGACGGAGCTGGCGCAGTTGGTAGCGTCGATCGTGGCGGAGTCTCCGAAGTTAGGGTTGATGCCAGCAAGGAGCTTGCCGTTGGAGGCCTTGACGTTCTTCATGATGACGTGGCGCTCAGCGGATTGCTTGCAGTTACCGCAGGAGCGGTATAGCTTGCCGAAAGTGTCAACGGTGAAGCCGTCGATGGTGACGGTGCCAGCGCCGTTCTGCTGGATGACCTTGTCTTCGGCGCCGGTAGCTCCTCCACCGATCACTAGAAGGCGTTAGCTCAGTCCGGAGGTAGTGCAAACACCTCTTACCAGTTGCGTCACCATCTTTCTTGAGAGAAAGCGCGTCCTCGCAGACAGCAGCCCACCAAACGTTCTCGATGGTGCAGCTGCCCTCGCAGTGGACACCCTCGATCTGGTCCTCTCCGATAATCGCGTTCTTCAAAGTAGCGCCATCCTGCAGAGGTAGAGGTACGAAGTCAGTATATGTTTCACATGCACTTCCTACAGCAGTGACATACCTTCAGAATGAAGACCGCGTCAGAATCTCCGCCTTCGGCTTGGCCAGTGCAAGATACGCCACGACCATAGGTCTTGAGACCGCCGTCAAAGGTGCCAGTGATCTCCATGGGCTCCTTGAGCGTCTGGGAGCCCTTGGAGGCCGGGATAGGCAAGCTCGCCCGCTTGTTCAGGTTGAAGAAGTTCATGGGAGAAGGCTTGCTGGGACCGGCCGAGACGGCGACGGCGAAAGCCACGATGGCAGCAGCGACGGAGGCCTTCATGTTGATAGTTGGGTCGGTTGGGATTGGAAAAGCTGGAGAGCTGAAAGGTAGTTGGAATGAAGAGAAGGACGTTGGGTTCGGCTAGCGAATGTAATGCGTCGAGCAAAGGATTGAAAGAAGATGAGAAAGCTGAAAGACTGTAAAAGACTGTTGTTGGCTCGATGGTGAGTACAGATTTTTGGGTGCGTCTCCCGCTGCATCTTATACCATCCACAGATCTGTTCCGCCATCTTCTGAATGCCTGCCGTCGGGACAACTGCGGAAACTTGCAGGTTTGGCGAAATCGCATATAGATTGAACCCACACGGCTCCGCCCTACCCTCATGGGCTTTGTGCTTGGCGGTTATGCTCATCTGTTTGAAACAGTCCTTGGATTCGCGAATCGCGATCCGCGCGGTCTCTACCCGTTTCGCCTTTTACGCCAAGAGCGATGCGTTTCAAATGAGGTGACCTGGAAGTTCCTCCAATTGTATGTCTTGTGCGCACAGCATGGAGAACAACGTAACCGTGGAAGCTAAGCCTAATCTGCAGCATGTCAAGTGTTTATGGTATGGAAGAAGGTTGCGGCTACAGCTGTCACGTCCAGCACTCTCGAGGTCCTTGTTCTGCACCCAAAGCAAGTAGTAACGGCTGCGACATACGTTGTGTCTTCGCAACGCTCACACAGATTGATGGCAGGAGACCACAATGGCACATCTGCTGAAGTTGCGCGCGGGCATATCCCAGCGCGAAAACATTGCACTTGAGTGGTGGAAGAAACAACCCAACACTACAACTCGAGCACGTGGAGTCACAGCGCTTCTGGTTGTGATCGTCGCCATCACAGTTCTTAGTATATTGAAGTTGCAAACGTGCACCAGCACGAAGAGATCGGTGCCATCGAGCCGCCTCACCAAACACGACCCCGTTCTTCACAGACCACGTCAGGTTTCGCGGAACTTTCAGTAGCGTGGTTCGAGATCTGCTTGGCATTCCCCACTACCTGGTGAAGCAAGGGGCGGGAAGCTTGTGTATCGACAGGAACAGCAAGGCTGCAGACAACCCACTGACTCAAAGTATCCACATTATGTCGTCGACATCGAATTTTCAGATATCTGGCTGCATATCTGTAACAAACATGCTGAGTTGTTCAGTAAACATCGACAACCCGACGAAGGCAGCCGCCCGCCACAGCGCACCAGAACGCAGACATCACATCAGACACCGAAATGAGAGTGACATGCATGAATCAATCCTCCACGCGGCATTTTCGTACAACGCTCAGCGGTCAAGCGTTTTTTTTTTCTTTTGGTGAAACATACCCAGCTCCGAAGTTGACCCAGTCCAGACACCCTTCGCCATCTGACACCACCATCAACAGCACGAACGGCCTGACGTCGCAGGTCTCCACGCGCTCGTTCATCTCAGGAAACATTACTTTTGTCGCAGGAATGCATGCGACGGCTCTGAACGTCAATCGTAGTGCATCATCCTGCGAGCAATGACGGCAACGGTGTACGGCAGGCAAGCCGCACTCACTCCCTGAACGAGATCGCGGAGTGGTACGTAAGACGATCAAATGGTGCGTGCTTGCGGCTGGGGCCGTGGCTGTGGAGGCGCAGATGACCCCACTTTAACAGCCTTATCATGACGCTGCTGCGCACCTTCAGTGTTGCTTCAGTCTACACATCTCTCTGCCACGAGCGACAAAGACACCTGACATCTGACGCCTCCAGAAGATTCCCATTGATAGTAGCAGCAGAACACCAAAGACGGATTGGGACTTCTCACCTCATCGCTACGCTATCCGTCCGTGCGCTGGCTAGCGTTGGCTAGCGCCTATCCGATATATACAACTTTTTGGCCGCCGCTTCTTTGCTCCGCACCGCAAACTTCCCAGCTCAACGCACACCTAGTGTGCAAGCCGACCCTCGGTAGCCAGGCATTTGCGGTCCTTGCGCAGGTCAAGTATACCTGCACCCTATCTCTACGCCGAGATATACACCCGTTAGCCATTGCTCTTAAGTGAGCACGGTGAGACAACCGACCGCTGCTTCTCTGAAATAGTCGCCAGACGCGACTGTTTTGGGTGGGTTAGTCGTCGTACTATATCTATGGTCTCCTTAGTTTATAGCATTTCTTCTCCATCCTTGCGCAGGTCAAGTATACCTGCACCTCGTCAGCTCTTAAGTGAGACGTCGAGGCCCCGTTAGCCATTGCTCTGAAGTGAGCAGGGCCGACAAACCAACCTCCACTCCTCAGGAATAGCTGCCTCCGGTGACTATCTCGGGAGTTTAGGCATTGCTACTATATCTATGGTCTCCTTAGTTTATAGCATTTCTCCTTCCAGATGTCTTCGAGACAAACTACACCGCCCTTCTCTCCTCAGCAATGGAGCAAGAATCCGGGCTCTTCAATGATACGCGACCGACGCCGTGCAACACCTGAGACTTGGGTCACATATTGTGGACTCTCAAGCAGATTGGTAGGCAGTGACGCATCCTCTCCACACGGTTGAGAGCACTACAGTATGTCGACTATGGTTGTTCAAGACAGACGGCGTGAAGTTCATGTCTTGTAAGAGAACCTCGGAAGACAGCTGAAGCTTTACTTCCAGCGGCGCGAGTCGCTCACGACTCCCGCAATACACAACCATCTCGTACGCAAACGCACTTTTGCGATCCGAGACTTTCAGGTGGGCGTGGTAGCCACATAATCACCGTATCTACCCTTTGTCACACATCAAGGTCCATGTCGTCGTCAGGCATTTATGGCTTCTGCCCTTCATCACATCTCAAGGTCTATGTCATCTTCAGGCAGTTATGAAACATCGTCGTTTCTCCTGTCAATCCACCAACTACCAAAACAAGCTGACTACAAACAAAGGTCAACAGGGTCCATGATCCATCGCGACGAGCGACCATACCGAGCTACCGCCCAGCTCACCCGTCCTCTCCAAGCCAACACGGCCTCGCCAACCCCTCTCAAGCCCCAGGCTCAAATTCACTCTCCAACGGCCCTCCACAAACCCCTGTCAAACAAACAACAGCCGCCTGATACGTCACACTCCCCGTACTAGTACAATCCTTCTTCAGCTTCGCGCTTCCGTAATAGCAATTACCAACCGCCGCATTCAGGGACGAGACGGTATCAATCAGCACCCCATACTCCACCGAGTGGTCACGATCCGCGTCATTCATCGCCGCTCCGCAGTCGCCAGAAAAGCTGCCCGCAGACCTGACAATGCGCATGGTGGAGGGACAACCAGGGATCTCCAAGCCGCAGAAATTGTTGTTCTTCCAGTTGTTGAGTTTGCCGGTGTCGGCGGAGGTGCCGGCGGAACAGAAGTCATCGGTTCCGAAGCCGTTTTCCTGGCCTTCGATGCCTGGGGGTGAGTGTTAGGTTGTTGGGATCAGGGAGGCTGGGCTGGAAGGTTACCTGCGCTGTTCCACGTCCCGATGATGTGCAGTTGACCTGGGGTTGAGAAGTTGCCGCCGAGCTCGGAGCCGGCGTACTTTCCTATTATGAAGTCGGCGAGGGTGGAGGTTGTGTAGAGGCCTAAGAGGGGAATGAGAGTGAACTGTGGAGTTTTCATGTTGGGTATGGGAAGTAAGGTGTTCAGGTTGGATGACGGTGTTGCAGGAGAGTGTTGAAAGTGTTCTTTTATGTAGATGGCTTCTCTTTTCTTGTACCATTGATGTCTACTTATACATATCTTTCTACTCACCGGCTCTTACCGTCGTGATGTAGGTCGTCGCGATCAATCGTCAGCCAACTCTTCATTCTATCGTTCCACATATTCCCGTGCGATGCGCGTTGGCCGTATGTCCCATTATTTCTGTCAGTAGCCATGGTCTGAAGTTGCAATAAGCACCTTGAGGCCAACGCTTATTTCCTTCGGTATAAGAAGGGTGCATTCGGCTCCACCTCCAACAACAGTACGTAGTGGTAGTGGATACGGCGTACGCCGAACGCCCGTTATGAGCCCTCATTGAGCGCTCCATCCTTGACGTCGAATATAGTCGGCCTTGCCATCGTATAAGATAACTACTCAAATAGCTTTGCCACTCAATCAAGAGACTTGAGCATAACCTTGCCCATGAGCACGTGAGTATCCCTGAGACTTATATCCAAAGAGCTCATGGCAACCTCCGAAGCGCACATGTACTTGAGATTGAGACTGAACGCCCAGACAATTACTCTGGAGAGCGGAGTTGCGAACAATGGGGCTGGTAGGCCTGATTCTACCCAGCCCTACTGATCAAGTAGAAGCCACTACACGTGAATGGGGAAGTAATGCGAAGCTAAGAGATGGACGACATGAGCTGAGTGCTTTTCGTCACTTATGGGAAGAAGTAGGCAAAGGTATGGCCGACGGTAAGTCGGTGTGCGTGAAGCCTTGACTAAGACGCGGGATCTGAAAGAGTGTATATGACGAAGACTTGTTTGAAAGGTTGAAGCTAGGTTTTTAGATTTCATACGCCTATCGATGGGATTGATATTGCACAATGTGGTGGCACAGCAGACCAAATGTACATGCATGCATCCCATCGTACATGTCTAATAGGGGCCGCCCGTTCCTCCGCCATGCTCAGTTCCTATGCCCCGTCGCAGCAACACCAGACACACACTGCTCACTTCATCTTCCTAGCGGACCAGTATTGGCGGTGCCACCAGTCCTCCTTGACGACTTGCCTAGCATAAAGTTACCCAGACCACGTGCACCACTGGCAAGAGGCTGCCTGGTCATCGGCGAGTTTTGGTACGAGGAATGCGCATCCTGACTCAAATATGGAGGGGGCTGGCGTGAGCCACCGAGGACTGGAAGCTGACTTCTGTGAGCTTGCGAAGGCGTCCCAACGGGAGCTGTATCTCCACTGCGTTAGCTTGCGATACTCTATGTTCAAAGAAGAACAACTCACGACCAGTATTGTTCCTCACACCCAATCCCCGCCTCTGCAATTGTGGATCGAACGGAGGCCCTAGATGCACACCACCCTGCTGCTGCCGTCCACTGCTCCCAGAACTCCGACTGAAGTCTCTGTTGTGCGGTCTACCGCCACCGGTCTGCTGCGACATATTCATCTGACTGTAGTTGGCCGTTCCCGTCCGCGTACCTGGAAGGCGGTCGATGAACCGGTCTCCACGAGCAGTCTGGATCGTGTACGCCGCCTCATCACCAGCAGCATGAGCTACCTGCGTCGCCATAACATTGCCTTTCAATTGCTGGTAGAGAAGTTGGGTCTGCGCCTGCGCTTTCGTCTTCTGTTTGTAGGCTTTCGCAAGTTCATAGTTTTTGCCCTCGAGAATTTCCTGTTCGGCTTGCATGGCTACGCGACTGTTAATAATGGAGCATTCAGAGGAAGAGGCTATGACCAACCTTGCATCTTGTCTTGCAACGCCTTGATCTGCGAATTCGCATCATGGACGAGCTGATCCATCTGTTGACTGAGCGTATCGTACTTGCCAGTCAAGCCTTTCGCGAGGTGCTCCTGGTAGATAATCTCCTGCGACGTCTGATAGCTATGGAACGCCAGGCCGCGACTGGCACACTCCATGATGATTGTTGGACTCAAGCCGCTAAGTACCGACGTCTTGTAGTCTTCTGATGGGTTGAGACCGGCGACAACCACATCGTCGGGGTTGTGCAGCGATGAGTTGCATGCTGGACAAGTTCGATGCGCATTTGTAGACCTCGACAGCCCGGTGACATCTGCGCAATTGCTGCAAAAGACGTGACTTGTGCGATGGTCAGCGAAAAGCGTCAGAGGCAGGTGAGATGGACGAACCTGCACGTAGTAACCACGGCGCGTTCATGCAGCTGCGATCGACACTTGAGCTCATTGCAACGCAGAACGTACTCCATGGCGAGTGGCGGTTGTGAAGTGGAGGAAGTTTCGTCGGCGGATGGAAAGCACGATGTTGACGCGAAAGCACGTGGTCCGCTCACTGAGGCAAGAGCAACCCAACTCGTGTAAATTCTGTCCTAACCAGAACGTAGCATGAATGTGTGTCTTATGGATCCGCGCAACAATAATACTCAGGGTGCGTCCGTGGGGCCTGCCGCTTCAGTAATCGAGGCTATCGATCATCCTTGTCCGGCTTCCGCCGTTGCCTTGTGCTCTTCTTGCCAGCCACGGCTGTATCGTCCTCCTCTTCATCTCGACCCTTTGCGAGTTCACCATCCAACTCCCACTCCTCGGGGTCATACCAGTCCTCGCCATCGCTCATCTCTCCTACATGGCCTTCCGCTTTTGACCACTTGTATACATCCTGCCTCATGCGGTCGGCTTGTAGCAGGCCTTGATACAAGTCGGATGTTATCCGTGCGACCTCCTCCTGTTTCTGTACGTAGGCCATGAGGAGCATGCGCGTCTCCTCGGCTTCGTTCGGCGGAAGACCAAAGTCGCGGTCTGGCAACGAATCCGACGGATGTATGAAGAGAGGATGTATTGCGCCGACACCGCTCGAGGGTGAATGAGGTGGGGAGGGAGTCGAGGCTGCGTGCGCCTGTGCTCGTCTGCGTGTCGTCATCCTATGCGTCTGTTGCGACGCGGTATCGGACGCGTCTTCGGGCGTTCCTTCTCCATTCTCTTGCGCCTGCTCTGCATCTCCTGCGTGCGTTCCGTTGGTCACAGAATGTGCGCCATTGACCCTCTCTGAACTCGTGTCGCCGTTGGTCTCGGTCTGTCGACTAGTGCCATTTGGCTGGCCTGCATCCTCCATGTCTACGTCATGGGGACTTTCTATGGTTTCGCGCATTTCCGCATCGTGGTGTTGCTGCTCTCCTTCGCCCGCGCGCCCATTTGCGCTGCTAGCCCATGGCTCCTGGAACGGTGCCCTGCCCATAGCAGCCAGGGCAGCTGGCGCAAACGTGGAGTCGCCCTGCAGTTTCACGAATAGAGTCTTCGCCCGCGCGTTCGTGACCTGCTCTTTCCGCGAGAGGGCTCCAGCTTCGCTCGCGAGGTCTGTGAGATGTCGAGAGGAGTATGCTACGCTCAGGGCAGGATGGTTGGGTAGATCGGCGGCGGAGGTGAGCGGCGCAAGAAGGCTCTCGAGCTGTATGTTGCCGTAAGGATTCTCCTCGACAGCCTCCACATCTTCCTCGTCTTCGTAGTCTTCTTCGACTTCGACAACATCACCGTCCGCATCGTATCGTGGAGGGTTGCGCTGTAGGATGGACCTGTGGTAGCCGGCGTGCTCAATGCGCTGGAGGCGTCAGTCTACAGTCGACACCCGAGTCGCACAAGCCAAGACGCACCTTCTTGTACGGTCGCGGGTCAGAAAGGAAGTCTGGGTCGCTGGCGCGCGCATAATGGACCTTGCGCCTCAAATCCTGCTTGTTGCTGTTTAAGGGTGTTTCGGAGTCTTCTGTGTCGGCTGCGCAGTGTTAGCTAGGCCTGTGTCGAGGTAGGAATGAACCTACAGTCGTCTTTTCGCAGCATCTTCCTCTTCATGCTGAAGATGGTATCCATAATCTGCTGCTGTTGGCCCGCCATGGCGTCAGAGCCTCTGGCCAGCGCGAGCGTAAGGTGGTGAAGATGCGGGAGTATCGATACGAGCGGGTTCAGCTAGTACAACGGCTTGTTGCGCTGTCAAAGGTATTTGGAGGTGTGGATACGCGTAGCGGCGAAGCTGGATTGCAAAAGTATAGCTGTAGAGTGTCGGAGAGAAAGTGTGGAGGGATCGGGCGGCATAGAGAACGTGCATGGCAAGGGTTCAGCTAGCTTCCCGCGCCCATGTGTCGACCCGCGACCATCGATGACGAAGCCGCGAACAATCTGTACACTATCTCCATGCTGCCACAAACACGCTTGATATCGCCAATCCGATACAGCACCTAGGAAGCCCACGTCTGGCTTTGCGATTCTCGTGCGACGAGCAAATCCACTCCGCAGCACTTCCGCTGTCCCCAACTCCGAAAAGCAGCACCACGTCGACACCACGCTTGTGAGATACAAGCTGGAAACCACGCGACTCGGGCATGGAGTTATAATGGAGGCATACCCATCAGACTTCACTGCGCACAACCTACCGTTTATTGTCCTTTCAGGCCTAGCGACCAGCAAAGAGGCCGATCCCCCTCCATCGGTTCAGCATGTGCTTCCTGGGCGCGCTGTCACAACTATCAGCTCAGACCTACCACCTGCAGAAGGTGAACGGGCAAATGAACTACTCCAAGAGTTTTTAAGTGCAGACGGCACGAATGCGCCGTGGAATGGGCGCGACTTTAGTCGCCGAGGCATCACGCATGGCTTCAGAATACGGAGTGTAGGAAGGGTACATGCGCCTGCGATTATGCCACGGGAAGGAGCCATGGGCTGATGTTTGCTAGAACTTCCAACTGCCTCCGAAAAAGGCAGATGCGCCCTCAAACTCCGAGACAACCCCTCCAGGCAGTCCCACCATCGCAGCCGCAACATCCTGGGTCCTGCATTCGCCCATATCTCCCCTCTCGCCAGCGTCGCCCTCCTTCCCCGACGGCGTCATCGCTCCTGCCTGGGTCGCCAAGCACCAGCACTACGTTCCTTCCGTATTCGTCTCCTTCTTCAACTTCACCACAGACCCCATTACGAACAGCTTGCACGATAATCAGCTAAAGACGGACATCAACAAGATCAAGAGCCAGATACAAAAGTCAGATTACCGAACAAGATATGTTGTGGTATTGCTGAGTGACAAGACTATCATCGAGGCACCAGACATCGAAGAGCGACTGGCGACGATACGGCGGGCTACAGGCTTGGATCCAAAGAATTCACTCTTCTTTCTGCCTCCAAGAACATCCAAGGTCGAGCTGCAGGCATTCGTCACTTCCATCCTGGCCATACTACAACCTGTCTGTGTGGAATACTACCGAGACCTCACGAAACATGCGCGGAGGAAGAAAGGACGAGGCACAATTCCGCCTCCGACAGCCCCACCAACGCGTGGCACCTCCCAAACGCTGTCGTATCCTGGGTGGGGTGTTCGCTATGACTTCAAGCTGGGTATTCTTGCCGAGTTTCGCCAGGAGATGGACGCTGCACAGCGACACTACGGGGCTGCTTTGGAGGCATTGTTTGGTGCCGAGGGCCTGTTTGAAACAACGGCAAGCTGGTCTCCAAGATGGGACGAGATACGACTACTAGCAGATATTATCGCACTACGACACATTCGATGTCAACTATGGAACAATTTCCCTACTTCCGCGGTCCAGTCTTGGTTGCGATACAAGTGGAGATTACAAGACGTGCTCGATCGCCGGGGCAAGGGTACTAACAACTATGGTTGGCAGGCTTGGGAATCTACATGGGCCCAAGTGATGGCTGAGACGGTACGACGAACAGAATTGCCAGTTTTCAAGATACGAGATCCTGTCCCGGACACAGATCCCTTGCCAGACATCCCTAACTCGCTATACTCTCAGCCCGAGAAGCAGTTCCCAGTAGGAGAAAGACTACCACCATGGGAACTATTACATCATGCCGGATATTGGCATAAGATTTCCAGTGACCACGCAAAGAGGCGCTACATTCTTGCCAGAGAGATGCCAGAGGAAGACCGAACACCACCCGGCATGTCTCCTGCCGCCAAGGTCTCTGCTCGGAATCAGATATACGACCACTACCTCGTTCCCCAACCGCACGAAGAGTATCCTGTACCTGGTATCGGCAATGGGTTCGAGCACTGGAAAGACATCTCATCCAAGCTTAATGCCGCGATAGCTGAGTTCAGAGCTCGGGGACAACACCGGAAAGTAGATCAGTTGCAACTTGAGGTGGCTCGAACATTGCTACACGTGAAAAGATTTCACGATGCGTTCAAAGTACTGCGATCACTCTGGGAAACGATGGCATGGCGGAAAGAAGGATGGTGGAGCTTAGCTTCGGAGGTAGTATGGACTCTGCATGAGTGCGCACTGCGAGTACAGAGCCGAGAATCATATGTTGCAACGGAGTGGGAGCTGTATAGTCAAAGTCAGTGTTACTCGTCTTTCACACGAAGCTTCACTAACAGCACCAGCAATCCCTGGCAAGACAAAATACAAGTACGACTTGATGACATGTTTAGACGTCTTCTCGGATGCGACTGCCGAGAAGGTGAGCGTGAGTCTAAATGCTAAAGACCACATATCCTGCTGTAAGTGCGAAACTCGTTTTCAAAATTTAAAGGCTGACCTTGCAGTGTCGACGTCCTTCGCCTTTGCTGAAGCAGAAGGTAATGTGGGCGAACCACTCCACGCACAGCTCGCCATCACCTCCAATGCTCGACCAGGCTCCGCTCCTATTACATTGTCTTTCCTCCAGTATCAGTTCAATGGGGGTTTGGCTGAAGTCCGCTTAAATCACAACGCCGACGAACCCTCCGGAAGTACCTCAGTCATGTACACCTGCACATTAGAAGAGACGCACTCCGCTACCGGAAAGCCACGCTGGGCCGGAACAGCTGATCTCACGCTCCACCCGGGGCAGACTAAAGTGTACAGTCTTCCCCTCATTCTGCGCGAGTCTGGGGATGTCGATGTTGTCGCGTGCGTCTTCGGCGTCAGCACGGAAAAGTTCGACCTCGTTTGCTCAGACACAGACCCGGAGACTCCAACTCATCCTGTTTGGTGGATCAAGTCAGATACCAAGATCAAGTCAAGATCATTGAAGCATGGATCTGGTATGTCGGTGCACGTACTACCCAAACCGCCAAAGATGGAAATCAACCTACCGGACGTTCGCAACCAGTACTACACAGATGAGTCAGTGACACTGGCAATAGAGATTCTGAACCAAGAAGAAGAGGACACTGAAGCTGTCCTTGAGGTGCGATTACTGGGTCGCTCAAAAGACACGTTGAGCTACACCTGGGTCGAGCGTCCGGCAGAGTCACCCATGAAGGAAGTCCCGCCAGCGCTCGACGGTTCAACAGATGTAGACCTCCCAGGCCATGTAGTAGGGAAGCTGGCCCAAGGTGCCAGGACAACAGAGAGAATCCGCTTCACTGCACCCGCAGATCCAGCAGACTACGCCTTGGAAGTCAAGGTACTATACCACCTCCTTAGCGACCGCGACATACCCATCTCCAAGATCATGGTCGCCGACCTCGTCTTCAACGCACCCTTCGAAGCGAGCTACGACCTCATGGCACGCGTGCACCCCGACCCATGGCCCAGCTATTTCGAGCTCCAAGAGGCCGAAAGCAACGTCAACCCCGAATCGCCCGATGCATTCGGCATAGCACAGAAATGGGGCCTACGAGCCAAAGTCGCATCCTTCGCCGACGAGCAGCTCGTCGTCAGCGACCTAGCCGTCCAAGTCCACAGCATCCACGGTGGCGCAACATGCGACGTCACGAAAGAATTCACCATTGCAGAAACCCCCATGGAACCCCAGGTCCTCAGCGAATGGGGCTTCAGCCTGGATATCCGGAAGAACAACCTCGAAGAACGTCGCTCCACCGCCCTCGACACAACTCTCAACATAACATGGAAGCGCACGTCCGACCCCACCGCCTCCCCAGTAACATCCTCCCTCCCCATCCCGCGCATCCAAATCCCCTCCTCAGAACCCCGCGTCCTGGCTTCCCACCACCTCTCCCCCACGACCCCTTCTCTCATCCATCTCGACTACGTCCTCGAGAACCCCACCATGCACTTCCTCACTTTCGAGCTCGCCATGGAAGCCAGCGAGGACTTTGGCTTCAGCGGACCTAAACTAAGGACGCTGCATCTCCTGCCTATGAGCCGGCAGACGGTACGGTATAATTTGCTGTCGAATGTGGAAGGGGATTGGATTATGCCGAATTTGAAGGTTACGGACAGGTACTTTAATAAGACGTTGAAGGTGCAGGGGACGGAGGGGATGAGGGTGGATAAGAAGGGGGTGGGGATTTGGGTGCCTGGTGATGATGGAGAGGCGGAGCAAGAAGTTGGGGGAGCGAAGGTAGAGTAGGGGGTGGAAGTAAGTTGCTTGAGAGCTTAGCGGTCTTGATGAGTGATGCAGTAGATGAGCTTGGAGCTGTAGAATTGTGCTTTCAATATACGAATGATGATAGTAAAACGCTAGATGCGACATGCATATGGACAACCTCACAATGGTAAAGCTGCCTCAGCAGCCATGTGTTGCTAGCAGCTGCACCCAATTCACGACAAAGGGTCCAGAGCGGACTCACGCCGCAAAGATAGTCAGAAAGCCAATCAACATTTATAAAGCGAGATCCAATACCATCCCGTCTCGTCCGCTACCAACCGCTCTCACCCCCCTACCAAAGAATACCAGAAGAATAAACATATGAGATTCGTGGGTGTTGTAACCCGTAAAACGGTGCTTTCGGCAAAAACCCCTCCACACACTAAAAGAATTACAATTGCACATAACAAAGCCTCTCTCGTAGAAGTGAACCATGCTTACCAATGCCCGCGAAATAATCAAAAGAGAAAAACGCCTTAACCCCTTCTTCTTCTTCTTATCTGTACTCGAACTATCATCAATCAAAGTCTTAGCTCTGATAGAATCGTCTGAGCCATATT